AAGGTCACGTTCCTTGTGTCAGCTGGTGGGTGTGGAGTTTCAGGCTGAGCTTCTTGGAAAGGCCCCGAAGGAGAGGCGGCTTAGGAAATAGGGCTGGGCTCACTGTGTTCCTGTCCATGCTCCTCAGAACTCCTCTATTCTGCAGAAGAGCATCCTGAGCCTCAGGAGAGGTAGGCAGAGGCCATTTTTGTGTCAGAAAGAGCACCCCACGTTCCTACATTTTACATATCAGTGGGTGGCCTGTGGTTCCATTTGCAAACAGGTTCCGCTGCTCATCCAACTGCCTAAGTAGTAGAGCCTACAGAAGGGGAGGTGACTGTCCCAAAGTCACCTGAGGGTGCAGCACACCTGTGTGTGAGCTGAGCAGAGGGGGATTCTGACAGCTGTCTCCATCTCCATCTCCCCCTCGGGACAGCAGACGGTGGGGGCCAGCCACAATCCCTGTGTGGACGGAATGGTGAACCTCTGAGCCCAGGCCTGTGCGAAGCTGGTACATGTTTCGGTGGGCTTTGGAGGGATGAACCAGTCCTCATGTATTGGCAAGGTGACGATCACCCAGCCTGAGCACTGCCCTAAAAACCGCATCAGACTCTCTCCCCAGCGGCTGCAGCTGTCGTGGGGATCCGCTTGTGTGGTTCACACACCCTGAGGCCCACAATTAGGCAAGATGATTTTTGCTCAGATTCTTGTGCCAGCTTGATCTTGTTCTAAAGCTCTTCTAAATCCTCTGTGGATAGAAAGACTCTGGGACTCATGTAGCTTTTTTTTCTTTTGTGTGAAAACGCCTCCCTAGTAGAATAGCAGCAACCACCTGTGCCTCACAGTGCAGCGCTATGGACAGGATTTGTAGCTAAATCCAGCAAGAGGATGCAGAGGGAAGTGGGGACGATTTTTCTCATGGTCTAAATTGTTAATGTTTTTTAGAAAGTAACTTTGGGCTCATCCTAAGACTTAATATTATGACCTTGTGGAACATTTGCAGGTACAGAAAGAGGTAAAAAAACAAAACCATAATTCTGTCACTCCTATTAAAATTTCAGTTGTTCCTTGCAGCTTTTTTCCCCCCCTTCCTTCCAGCTCATTTTTTTTTTTAAATTTGTTTATTTTTAGTAATCTCTGCACCCAGCATGGGTCTCGAACTCACAACCCTGAGATCAGGTGTCACATACTCTTCTGACTGAGCCAACCAGGTGCCCCAATTCTTAATTCTCAGTTTTATTTTACAGTTCTCTCGCCTGTAAAATGGGGACAATCCTTACCTTCAAGGGCAATTGAGGTTGAGCAAACTTAGAGGACCAGAGCACCCTGCAGTCGGTGCCCAGTGAACAGCACACTGTCCTGTCTGACAGCAGAGCAGGTGCAGTTCCATATCTTGTATGTTGTATGTGTTGTAAGCAGTCATAGGTCCATAGGCCGTTTGTAAACATCTTTCGAGACTCCTATTCCATCATTAGAATATCCTGTAGCTTCTTTAAGAATTCCCTTATGTAGGGATGCTTGGATGGCTCAGCAGTTGGGCACCTGCCTTCAGCTCAGGTCATGATCCCAGGATCTGGGATTGAGTCCCACATTGGGCTCCCTGCAAGGAGCCTGCTTTTCCTTCTGCCCGTGTCTCTGCCTCTCTCTCTGTCTGTGTCTCTCATGAATAAATAAATAAATCTTTAAAAAAAACAACAATTCCCTTATGTAGATGTTTAGGTTACTTCCAGATTGAGGCTTTTTTCCATGGCCAATTATAGTAATTATTTTCATAATTAAGAACACCTTCAATAGCTCCTGTCATTAGGAGCTGAAACAAATTAGGTTTTTGAACTACAGCTTCATGATGGCTGAAGTAGTTGTAGAAAACGGGTGCCTTGACACGGCCCTTGTATGTGCATAATTGCTGCGTTCAAGTGGAACGCCAGTGGGTGTTTCTGGGCATTGCTTCAAATGTGCCCCAAGTCCCCTGGAGCAGAAGGTTCTCTCTCTCTCTCTTGTCTGCTGGAGTTTCAGACCTTTTGGGATATTAGGCATTTGAAGAGCTGAAGCCCCAGCCGTAGGACAGCTGTAGCTCTCCCTCAGGGAGTTCCTGTTCCCATGGGGAGACAGACCCTGAAACCAATAAATGCAGTCGTTTGTGTTCAGATTAAGTGGACTAGGCCAGGAAGGTGGATGGAGTCAGCACTTTTCGGGTGAGGGTGTGGGTCAGAGGGCTCAGGAGAGGGGGTGCTATGGCTGGTTCTAGAAAGATGGGCATGTTTCCTTGGGTTCTTTGGTGGAGAGAGGACTAGAGTCTGGACACATGTAGTAGCAGGATCAACAGCTCAGAGGTGGTAGGGAATGACTTTGAATGTTCTGGCACTTGCTAGAATTTGTTGTGGCTGGACATAAGGTGGGGACAATGGTATGAGGGAGGGACAGTGGCTGTGTGCCATGTCTTCTTCATCTCTGGGTCTCCAGTACCCCAACAGTGCCTGGATGAAGGTGGGCCCTTGGTGTGTGGAGGCCAAACACTTTCATGAAAAACTTCAGCTGCAGCTCTAGCCCATATCTCTCAAGCTGTTTGGCAGAGTTCTGCGAGTTGGTTCATCTGAGGATGTGCGGACATGCTGGAACATACCAGGTGTGCTAATATATGGCAGGCCACTGCTGCCTGAGAGATGAGTGATGCCTGCCAGGAGGTGCCAGAAGGAAAGTCTGGGCTCAGGATTAATTGGCTCTGAAACCAGTCCTGTGATTTGTACCTGGATGTGGTTATAGAGACTTCTAATTGCAGTCACTGAGCTAATAAGCCAGCCAGCCCAAGGGCATCCCAGGTCTGATCCTCCAGAGTGGGATGTGTGCTTTTGTTGGAGCAGTCGATAGCTCACTGGCAGCCCTGGCACCCCCAGGTGTGCTCCGAGTTCTTGTAGGCCTGACTCATCCATCGCCCACATTCTCATGCTGTGTAGTTCAGTGCTACCCTGGGCCACCACTCCTCACCCAGACTTGAGGGGTGGGGACAGAGGTCCTAGTGTGGCAGGCAGCCAGGGTGGGGGGAGTGGGGGGTGGGGGGGGAAGCAGGGCAGAGAAAGGGAGGGAGGGGACAGGCTTGGAAGATATGCGCTGGGTTCCTACTGCTTTGCGGAGTGCTTTGTTCACTGAGAACAGATGTTGGTATCATTTTCAGGTGGGAGAAAGCAAACTTGGAGAGCTTAGGTACCTTCGTCAAGATGATACAGTGAATAGAGTAAGCCCATGCCTGTCATTTTCACACACCACTCCAGATCAGCCTGCCTTGCGGAGCAGGGGTTTGGAGCCTTCTCGAAACCTTGATGGTGCAGAGCTGTCTCAGGGACAGCAGTGAGAGCCCAGGGTCCCAGCCTATTACCAGCTGTGTAACCAAGTCACGGCCACTCCCTGGGGTGCAAAATGGGGAGACAGTTCAATGTGTGTGTGAGGGGTTTGTGTAAGAATCAGAGCAGATAGTGTGACTGGGAACCCTGGGTGGATGTGCTGTAACAGCTGAGAGTGCTCAGGGCTTGGGATGGGGGTCTCTTCTCTCCTCCCTCCTTTCTCAGCGGGGTTTGTAAGTGGAGCCCAATGAATGTAGAGTCAGGTTGAGCTTTCCCTGTCCAAGAAATGGACATTAGAGCTGAGTTGATCTGGGTTTGCCTCTGCTGTCACTTAGCAATATTTGTGTGCCCTTCAATAAGACCTTGACCTCTTTTGAGCCTTATCATAAAGTGGAAGTACCACCTTGTCCATCTATTAGTCATACACGAGACAAGTATATTTGGTATTTGTCACTAAATTGGTCCTGTTCCTCTTGCATTCTGGGGCCCTAACACGGTACCGTGTTCTTCAAACAGCTGCAGGCTACTTTCCATTTAGCTGTATTTTGAACTAATATGTATAGAGCACTTAGGTCATGACAAGGCCTCTGCTGGGGCTGGCAGTACGACTGTGGACAAGGCAGATGCCTCGGCTTGCTGCTGTCTGGAGAGGCAATATGATCTGGAACATGTCTATAGACATCAGAGTTCTGGACACTGCTGCAAGGGGGAAGCTCACATGACGGGTGGCTAGGGAAAGCCTTCCTGCACCACATAGGCTAGGCCTCAAGTCTGAGTAGAGTTGACAAGGGAACAGGATGGGCTGGGATAGCTGGGAGAAGAGTGTCTCAGGAGATGAGTGTAAACCCTCTGGGCCTGAGCAGTGGTCAGCAAGACCCAGACTATGGTGCGGAGAGGCTGGGCTTCAGCTGCTGTGAGATTTTAATGTTTAGGGTACCCTTCATGGCTAATGATGCCTACTGGGGCAGCCTGGAGACCTGGGCGGAGTTAGGACTGTGCTTTGAGTCTCAGTTCTGCCACTGAGCCTTTGGGTGTCCTTGAGCCCTCAATCTTTTGTGAGACAAAAGTTTTTCCAATCTGTAGCATAACAGGTATCTCACAAACAAACAGTAGTCTTCACCAAACAGTGTAAGTAAGGGATTTGGGATTACTCATGAAAACACAGGATAGGGCAGCCCGGGTGGCTCAGTGGTTTAGAGCCACCTTCAGCCCCGGGCCTGATCCTGGAGACCCGGGATCGAGTCCCACGTCGGACTCTCTGCGTGGAGCCTGCTTTTCCCTCTGCTTGTGTCTCTGCCCCTCTCTCTCTCTCTCTGTCTCTCATGAATAAATAAATAAAATCTCAAAAAAAAAAAAAAAGAAAAGAAAACACAGGATAAAAGGATACACTCACTAGTTAGGTCAGAGGGAGATGATTGGTAAAAAGAAGCTGGGCTGATTATTAGCACCCGAAATTCACTCCACTCAATCTCCCTGAACATTTGCAGAGGCAGGTAGGATGCTTGATTGACTGAATTCTTCCTCGCTGCCTGAGCAAAGAGACAGGATCAGGTATTGATTCACCATGTTTTTAAGGTATTAGAAGAAAAAATTATTGTGAAAAAGTAGCATTTTTCTCTCCCCGCAGTCAGGCTGACTCTCAGGGACACTATGTGTGTTGTTAACTGTTTGTCCTATTTACAGGTCTGCTGGAAGCACTGGGCAATGATCCTGAGACTCCAACCCAGAGTGGTCTGAAAGCATTTGGGAAAGAAGAGGGAATCTTGGGGAAGATGGCCATGGCCCCAAGCCCTTCCCTGGCTCAGGTGTACACCAGTCCCGTGGCAGTGGCTGTGTGGGAATGGCAGGATGGGCTGGGCACCTGGCATCCCTACAGTGCCACCGTCTGCAGCTACATTGAGCAGCAGTTTGTCCAGCAGAAAGGCCAGCGCTTCGGGCTGGGGAGCCTGGCCCACAGCATCCCCTTAGGCCAAGCTGACCCCTCGCTGGCGCCTTATATCATTGACCTCCCCAGCTGGACCCAGTTCCGCCAGGACACTGGTAAGATACTTCTTGTCTCTGGTACATGTCAGAGTGCCTGTGTTGGGGTTATATATAGGAATGACTCTCAGAGCTTCATTCTGTCCCTGAAATGCACTCATTTGGGAGGCAGGTGCCATGAGTGGTACCAGGTACTACAGTATGAGATGTACCTCTCACTGGTAGCGAGTGCCTCGAGAGCAGAGTGCATAGGCCCTCATAGCCCCTTCCCCCTTGTTTCCCAAACCTCAAATGCCTGCTTCCACCTGCAGAGATTAGAGGGTCTTGCAGACAGGCTGGCATGGAATAAGTGTGTGTGCTGATAAAGAGGGCCTAGTGAAGACTTATGCCTCCACTGCACTATCTGCGTGACCTAGTTACGCAGGTTATTTCTCTCTCTTATTATGCTCATGTGTGGGTTTTTTTGTGGGTTTTGATCAATATTACTGAGAATGGGATCACCAGCTTCCTCCCAGAGCCATGCCCTGTCCTTCTCACCCAGGGGTTCTCAACTGGGGGTGATTTTGTCCCCCAGGACTTTGACAGTGTTGGAGATTTTTTTTTTTAAAGATTTTATTTATTTGTTCACGAGAGACACACAGAGAGGCAGAGACACACAGGTAGAGAGGGAACCAGGCTCCATGCAGGGAACCTGATGTGGGACTTGATCCCAGGATTCTGGAATCAGGTCCTGAGCCAAAGGCAGACGCTCAACCACTGAGCCGCCCAGGCATCCCAGTCACAGTGACTGTTAATCAGGGAATGGAACTGTAGTGTTGTGAGAGGACGAAGTTTGAACTTGAGTGGCCAGGTCACAAGGAAGGAACGAAGACAGGCCCGAGGGAGGGGCAGGTTGTCCCTTGAAGGGACTTTGACTTTTATTCTGAAAGGAGGAACCTTAGGATTTGGGCGGAGGAGTGCCGTAATCTGATTTGGAGGTGAAGAGTATCCGTGTGGCTGCCATGGAGGCAAGGGTGGAGATCAGGAGACCAGTAGAAGTGAATTTGATGATCATCTTTTGGCAAGTGCTATTGGAAACATGGCCCGAATTATTTCTCTTCTTTTGCTCTGTAGTCTTCAGGTTTGGTTTATTAAGAATATAAGCTAACCACAGGGTGTTTCCCAATAGTTGCTACTTGAGAAGTCAAAGGGATTGTTACACCCATGTAAGGGACTTATGTAAAAAATGAATAATGAGCTTTATAAAGTTTTAGAGATGTAAGAAATATTCATGGCCTAATATAAGAAAATAGTCTGGAAAATTTTTCAGTGTGATTGTCAGCTTCCTAAGGGTAGATGCCTAGGAGACCAGATGGGAGGAATGCATGGCGATACAAGCTGTTTGGTTAGTCTTGATGGTTGGATTATAGATGGTTTAATTTTCTATATATTTTTTCAGTTTATTTTTTTTTAAAGTGAGGCTACCTATTTTTCATCATTAGAAATATATTTTTTTGATAAATGAAAATTTACTGTTGTGTTTTCACCATCAAAACTGAGGATCTTTGTCTTTCCTTCTTGCCTTCGTATAAGACCAAAAGAGAGGCATTGTCTACTTTGACAACCTTAATGCCAATTCCAGGAATGTCATCCACAGCATGACCTTTGTGACCAAATCCAGCAACCAGAACCTCATAATTTTCCTCAGTAAAATTCAAACAACCATAAAGAGTACAAAGGCAGTGATTCTTTTTTTTTTTTTTTTTCCATTCTTGATCAGCTGGACCCCAGCACACTTCCTGATGGCAGAATTTGGCTGCTTGGCTTCAACCCCTACTTTTTCCAGCACAATTCCTTTTGCATGGGAAATGCCTCCAAAAGGGTTGGCCGTCAGGGCTGTGCCCAAATAGGCTTTCTTGTACCGTTTTTCATGCCACTTCTGATCTTGTCCATGGCTGCAGAGCTTCCTGGTGGGACAGAGATACTTCCCTGAGCAAAAAAGAGGCATCATTAGAAGTATTTTGAAAAATCCTTGGGACGCCTGGGTGGCTCAGTGGTTGAGCATCTGCCTTCAGCTCAGATCCCGCAGTTCCGGGATCGAGTTTCACATCAGGCTCCCTGCATGGAGCCTGCTTCTCCCTCTGCCTCTATCTCTGCCTGCCTCTCTCTGTGTCTCACATGAATAAATAAAATCTTAAAAAAAGAAAAGAAAAAAAGCTTGGAGTCTGAGCCACAGCTGTTCTTTGACCTAAGTTCCTAGCATCCCCCACTCCTGCCAAGGAGCACAGATCCCCATCTGCCATGTAGATTCCTTTAGGCCAAGTTTCCTTCCTTCCTTCCTTCCTTCCTTCCTTCCTTCCTTCCTTCCTTCCTTCCTTCCCTCCTCCCTCCCTCCCTCCCTCCCTCCCTCCCTCCCTCCCCTCCCTCCCTCCCTTCCGTTTGAGAGAGCGCATATGAGTGAGCATGAGCTGGGGCAGAGGGAGAGGGAAGAAGCAGGCTCTCCACTGAGCAGGGAGCCCAACTCCAGACTGATTCCAGGACTCTGAGATCATGACCTGAGCCAAAGGCAGATGCTCAACTGACTGAGCCACCACACGCTCCCCCAGTTTCTTTACCTAGAGAGAGTTTTCTGCCCTTTCTACCCAAAATTTGGAAAGAATAACTGGTGCCAGCCTTTTGTTCAAATAACAGCATGACTCTTGTCTATTCATACTGTGACCATGCTGGCTTATTTTGTTTGTAGAAAAAGAATTTTTACTCTTTTTGTTTTGGGGGGCTAGGAGATTCACCATTCACGTGTCCTCCTCCTCTTCGAACAGGCACCATGCGGGCTGTGCGCAGGCACCTGTTCCCCCAGCAGTCGGCCCCTGGCCGGGGCATTGTCTGGGAGTGGCTGAGTGACGACGGTTCCTGGACGGCTTATGAAGCCAGTGTCTGTGACTTCCTGGAGCAACAGATGGCCAGGGGCAACCAGCTTGTGGACTTGGCTCCCCTGGGGTACAACTATACCGTCAACTATGCCACTCACACGCAGACCAACAAAACTTCAAGCTTCTGCCGCAGTGTGCGGCGCCAAGCAGGACCCCCGTACCCAGTGACCACCATCATTGCTCCACCAGGCCACACGGGAGTTGCCTGCTCTTGCCATCAGTGCCTCAGTGGTGGTGGAACTGGCCCGGTGTCAGGCCGCTACCGCCACTCCATGACCAACCTCCCTGCATACCCTGTCCCTCAGCCCCCCCACAGGACCGCCATTGTCTTTGGGGCCCACCAGGCCTTTGCTCCGTACAGCAAGCCTTCCCTCTCTGGGGCTAGGTCTGCACCCAGGCTGAACACCGCCAACCCCTGGGGTGGGGCGCCCCCCTCCCTGGGGAGCCAGCCCCTCTACCGCTCCAGCCTCTCCCACCTGGGACCGCAGCACCAGCCCCCAGGATTGTCCACTGCCAGTGGAGCCAGGTATCTCTTGTTATTGAGGGTCATTTTGTCCACCTGTGCGCCATGTCAGCAGGCTTGGCTTTCTGCTTTGAGTTAGCTGGGAAGATGGCCCAAATACCTGCAGGCCTGGGCCCTGCCTCCGTGGACGTCCATGCTGTGTCGTCTCCTTTGCATGTGCCACCTGGCGCCTGCATGCTGGCCTTCCTCAGTCTGGGTTCATGGAGCCTAGGTAATCTCTGGTACCTGAGTGCTGATAGTTGCCTTTACTCCTGAGAGGCTCTCTGTAAAGCATATAAAGGCCTTTTAGCTATACCTGTGTGCCACATAGCTCTGCCATGTACCTGAGGACATCTCATTGACAACTCCTCTGTGCCAGGCACCGAAGACACAGGTGTAGAAGGTTCAGTCCCCTCCCACTCATCCAGGGGAAGGCTGTGAGCCCAGCTTTGGTGCTTAACAGTTGAGAGAGCAAGATGCTGAGTATGTGGCAGGTGGCAACAGGTAGCAGGATGGCTTCCACGGTGGCACAATCGGCCCAATGTCTTGTAGAGCTCTCTGCACCTGGGGGATGATGGGGAAATGAGCCTGGACTCCACCTGGACCAGAGGGCACCGAAAAGTTGGGAGAGCCCTGGAGTGGCCAGTCGGGGGTGGGTGCTCCAGGTGGTTCCTGGAGACCTGTCACTGAAGAGTGGCTCCTCGGGGAGCATTATTGAAGGTGCTGGACTTGGGGGACAGCCAGAGAGTTCTGAATGGCAGCCCGGATGGGGGCTGGTTCCCAAGAGAGTGACTTGTGGGCCCCTAGCGGACCCGTGGCGCCCCCACCCCCCATGGGGGCAGCATCCCGTTGGGCTAGGCTGACATCAGCCTCTAGCATTTTTTTAAAGCTGGGTTTCAGAGGCCCTTGCTGGCAAGTGTAAGACAGTGACGACTGCCCTTTACCAAGTGCACATAGCTAGGTTGTGGATGAGTTCAATAATCCTCTTCATGGCCATCTGGTAGATGGTGTCCTCAGCTGCCAGGTGAGCACATGGAGGTTGGCAGGACAGCCAGCAAGTGGCATGGCTGGGATTAAACCCAGGCCCCAGAGCAGGCTGTGAGGGACCCATGGAGAGATCTTGAAGCTCTCTTACAGGCGGAGTAAGGGGGAAGACCGAGACTTCCTGAAGGATAGCGTGGAGGTATCCGTAGATGGGAGGGGCATCTTCTCCTTTAGGGACTGGGGGCATGTGAACTGAGGTCTTTCTGGGAATGGGAGCTTTCACTTGGCTATCTCCCTGGATTTTCACTTAGGCATTAGCAAGCAGGGCTCTGTGTTATGTCAGTCCCACCCAGTGTTCTGTGAGGCCCTCTCTGATATGTGGGTCAGAATCCTTCAGAGAAAAGTATGCTCTCTGCCAGCCCAGAGTGGTTATCAGCAGGGCTAGAGCTGCTTCTACTAGGTTGGTTTTGCTGAGCCTCCTGGGGCTTCTTAAGTTCTTACAAATTATTTTGGGGCACATTTCTAGATAGTTCTATAGCTGGGATTGAGCCAGGTGACTTAATTAATAGGCTTTGTTGCTTTCTTCTGGCACCAGGCTCCCATTGGTCTCCCCTGATATTTCTCTGGCGTCCCCCCTCCCCAGCCTGAGGGCCCGAGAGACTGCCAAAGTGGGCCCCCCTGGCACAGGCCAGGCAAGTTTCAGAAGGGACGGTGGCTGGGCCACATGGCCTCACCTGTGCTGCCAGCCATGCGTGTTCCTGCTTGCCCTCCTTGCCTTGGTTGTAAGCCAAGAAGGGAACCAGGCCAACCGGCTAGGTTAGTTGAAACCGCCTCAAAGGGGCCTGCCTCCTGAAGTGGGTGTTCATCTCTAGCTCCTCCAGCTTTTCAGGACCTGGGAGAGGCACAGTTCATTCACATGGCCGTATTCCTCCCTGTTTTGAAAAACAGGGTTTCTGTTCAGTTAACCTGTTTCTTATGGAACGGAGGGGGCTTAATGAATACCTGGCCTCTCAACCCAGCTGAACCAGGAGAGTCGAAAACACTTGACAACTCTGTCTCCCTAGGGGCTGTGGTCTGATTCTCTAAGCTGAACAAATGTTGATTGCATTAGGTGGACATTCCCCAGAGGGCAGCGGGGCTGGGGGCACCATGGGCTGGGGAAGCCTGAGAACCAGCCTTATTTACTGGTAGCCACTGGAAAGAATAGGTGGAGGAGCAAAATCAAAATTTGTGGAACACGTGTGGTTTTTATTTTGGAAACCATATGGTTTCAGATCGCCTCTTGCTCAATCCGGATAAAACCTTGGCTAACAGATTTCCCTGTCCTCTGGGAGGCTTTCTGAGCAGGCAGTGCCGCCTTCAGCTGCCGGGTTTAAGAAAATTTCCTGGGCAGCCTGGGTGGATCAGGGGTTTAGCACCACCTTCAGCCCAAGGCGTGATCCTGGGGACCCGGGATCAGCTTCCGCATCGGGCTCCCTGCATGGAGCCAGCTTCTCCCTCTGCCTGTGTCTCTGCCTCTCTCTCTCTCTCTCTCTCTCTGTGTCTCTCATGAATGAATAAATAAAATCTTAAAAAAAAAAATTTCCTGGTCGCTGAACTTTATCCTTTCAGCACCAAGACTTGTGTTTTAATGATGTTGGATAGAAAACCTTCTGAAATGTGTCACGTACACCCTTGTCTTCTTTAGTAGAGGGTGTGGTGGCTTAACATCTTGATGACTTGAGGTGGTGATCATGACCCGCTGTCTGTTGTAGCTTTGGCGTGGCTAAGTCTTGGGGTGGCTTGCCCTTGCACTAAGTGGCCCTAGGATGTGGCTTTCCCAGTTTGTTTCCATCTGCTGTGTTCTCGCTGCCGCTCTTCCCCCAGGCTCTGCAAACACTCCCTCCTGCAGTCCACCTGGCTTGCATGCTTGGAGTCCCGGGTCCAAGGGGGGTACCTTCCCTCTGACTGGCTATAGGCCCTTGGGTCAGCTCTGTTCTCTTTCTATGTCTATTCTCTCCCCTCCTGAGATTAAGGAGTTGGGCCGGGAAGCCAGAATTTTCCCTTTGCTCCAATTTTGTGGTTTTTGGGATTTCCGGGGGGGGCCTTGCAGGAATGTACATGACAGCCCTTCAGCTTTCCTGTGTCCCCTTGACTCCTTTGAGAACAGGGAAACAGTGAACATTTGTATTGGGCTGGAGATTGAGCCTCACAACCATCCTGGGGGCCTTTTGGAATTGTTGTCATCTTACAGATAGAGAAATTGATCAGAAAGGGGACTCAACCTGGCCAAGGGCATGCAGGTTTAAGGTGGAGTGGCGCTGGAAGTGGGGTCTCCAGACCCCACATCTAACGCTCCTTGTACTGCACCTGCTGTCAGGGCTTGCTGGTCAGTGCTGGCTTACTGGCCTGTGGGGAGCAGGTGGGAGGCTTTGTGTTTCCTCATTCTGGCCTCCCAGCTCTGCTGCTTTCCTGGGACTGCCACATCCTGCCTTCATAGAAGACTGGAAGTCCTCCTGTCTCCTGTTTTGAGCTCCATTTGGAAGCTCCTGGAGAGAGTCCCAGACAGGAAAGCCAGGTTGGGTCTAGTAGGTAGAACCAGGAAGAGGGGAGGTCAGGAGGGTTGCTGGAGGCAGTGACTGGGAGGAATTGTCAGAGAAGGGTGCTCTGTTGGGCAAAGCCCATGCTGGGGACCATTTGCCCGTCTGGGCCCTTTGAGGATTGTGGAGGGGGAATTGGTGACCTCCGAGGTCCAGTCCACCCCAAGAGTCCCCATGTTTGGAATTGCTGGGTTCTTGTCCTGCTCCTATCACTGCAGGGATACCTACAGAGTAGGTACTGGGATGAATGATAGGGGAAGTGGCAACACTGTGAGACCCATAGAACTTAGTCACAGTTCCTGGCCCCAGTTCTGGAATGAGTGCCCAGTGGTAGCCTTAATGCCTGCTTTCTGCTCTAGTTCTTGGGGGCGGAACCTGAGGCCTTCTCCCTCACATACATGCCTATTCCCAGCAAAGGAAGATCCCACTTCTTGGACCCTCTCTGAGCCAGTGATGAGTAGCCCACTAACTTGGGGGAACTGTAGAGCCAAGCTTCAGCTTCCTGACTTCCTGGCTGAGGGCTCAAGTTCAGTGTCCTCTGTAGAACTGGCTTGGGAGATGAAGAATTCCTGAAGGGGCTCTGTCCTTCACTTCTAGAACCTGAGAATTGCAAAGACCATCAGAGATTATCTACTTTCCTTTAAAAAATGAAAATGGGATCCCTGGGTGGCGCAGCGGTTTGGCGCCTGCCTTTGGCCCAGGGCGCGATCCTGGAGACCCGGGATCGAATCCCACGTCGGGCTCCCGGTGCATGGAGCCTGCTTCTCCCTCTGCCTATGTCTCTGCCTCTCTCTCTCTCTCTCTCTCTCTCTCTCTGACTATCATAAATTAAAAAAATTTTTTTTAAAAATGAAAATGGAGAAACAGGCTCAGGAAAGGGTGTGCTGGTTGTTCCACATTAAACGATTTAGAGGGGCCAAAACCTTAGCCCAGGTGTCCTGTATGCCCAGCTCTTCCATTACATTATCAAAGCTCTCCAGAACCAGGTCCATTGTTCTCTCGAGCTTGAGAGTAGCTGAGGACAGCAAGAAGTCTGATCTTCATAGAGTGGCCACACAGGTGATTCTCTTGGGGGAGAACAATCCAGAAATGAAAACAAAATATCTATTCAGACAAATAATAGAACACCTGCCGTGCTCCCAACCCCATGCAGGGGCCCTAGAAGCTTCAGCACCAGCTGAATGTGAGATTCTGATTTGGATCAGAACTGGCCAGCTCCAAGTAGTTTTACACCAGCAGGATCTGGGACCCTGGCGCTGGTGATAGGGGAAGTATCTGAGGCTGCTTCCAGAAACATTTGCCGTGAACCAGGCACATTGTTGGTTTGCTGACAGCTGTAAGGGTAGCACGGTAGATTGGAGCTGGCCATCATTTCCGGAGCATCTTCTGGGCTCCAGGCTAGGCCCAGTGGAACAGATGAATGCAACCTGGCCCTGACCTTGGGGAGCTCCAGTGTAGGAACTATTTGGAAGGGTTTCATAACCCTTCTGGTGTTGCCATCTTTAGCATGGGCAGAGATGAGATGGACTGGAAGATACAGGAATCCCAGTGGCAGGTGAGTGGGGGCGGCAGGGCAGCACAGGGGGTCAGCAGGCATCTTGGGGCCATCTACACCAATTGTTTGCCAGTGTGGGGCTCCCCTCAAACCATAGTGGCAGAGGCTTTATTATTACTTGAAAAATATAATGGCTTAAAACTAAGGGAGTGATGCAAGCAAGCATAGTTACTGTGGCAAGCAAGACCCTTATTTTTTTTAATCTCTTTATTTTGAACTAATTTTAGATACATAGAAAAGTTAGAAAAATAGTATGGAGAGTTTCCATAACTCCCTTCCTTGCCTTATCTTGTAAAGTCAAACAATTGCTATCATGAGTATGTTACTGTTAACCAAGGACTTTTCTCGATTTTCACTTTGTGCAGTGCTGCTCCTGTTCGGTCCCAGGATCCTGTAGGATTCCACCTCCTATCCAGTTGTCCTTTATCCTCCCCATCCTCCCTTCAGTAGAAGTTCCTCGGCGTCTTTATCTTCCATAACCTTGACGCTTTTAAAGAGTTAACTTTGTTGAATGTCCCTTATTTGGGGCTTGTCAGTTGCTTGAGGTTTTATGCAGTTTTGGCAGAAACCACAAAAGTGGTGTTATGTCCTTCTCAGAGCACCCTTTCTTGGGGTTCCTGATATTGATTGGTCATATTAGTGGTAATAGTGGTCTTGAGTACTCGTGAGAGTGGTTTCTGCCGGATTTCCCCTCCCCAGGTACCATAAAACCCTAATTCTGACAAAGCTAGTGAGCTCAAAATTCTTTTAGGATTGTCTTCAGAGTTTGAATTGTCCAGGAAAACTTTTTTTGACAGTTAAAGCTTCCTTCTTGATAGCTTGTAAAAAGCTGAGCCTCACACCTCAGCAATGTTCTTTCCCACCCTGGCCCTGTACCTGCTTGCTGATGATGCCCCCTTTCCTGTTTACCTGGCTTGGGGTTTGACTCTCCCTGTTAGAGTTTTGCCATGGTGGTGGGCCAGGCTTTGGGCTTCCCGTCCTCAGTATTCAGCTTCTCTAGGTTAGTCTGGGTCTGAGAGTGGTAAAATTCAGATTTCTTTCCTCTTCTTTCCAGTTATCAGTATCTTTAATTAAAAACAAACAAACTGAGAAGTCCTCACTCACACTGAAGTGGCCACACAAAGTGAAGCTATCAAGGCCCCAGCAGTGCCAGGGTATTCGTATCTTGGTCTCGCTCTGGCTCTTGTTTCTGCTAAGTTGGCTCCTACATTCAGCTTTGTTCTCTCTTCTCCCCAAGTGCCTCCCTCCCCAGCGGTCCTGTGAGCAGTCCTGGGAGCATCCCTGCCGCAGTGCCCGTGCAGATGCAGATGCCGAAGCCCAGCCGGGTCCAGCAAGCCCTTGCAGGTAGGCACTCTCCTGGGTCCTGGGTTCCAGAACAGGTTGTGTCTTGCAGGGAGCAGGATGTGGAAGCAGTGGGAGAATGGGAGGAGATTGTGGGACAGGGGTCATTACCCTCTCCATTCTTATGGAAAGCCACAGGGGCTCTTGGGGTGAGGGGGCGGACTGGGGAGGCAGTGCCTCTTTGCAGTGATTGTGTACCCTCAGTGAGTGAGCCTGGGCACCCCTCGGTCTGGTCTCTCGGGGGACTAGCCAGCCTAATGGCAGTGGGTACCCTGGTGTAGACTTTTCCCCATCTTTGAGATTTCAACGTCACTTTAATATGGTTTGAGTCATTTGTCTCTCCTGAAGTGCTTTACACATTTTCCTGAAGGGGCCCTCTGGGGAACTCAGTTATTTTGGCTGGAGATATGCTTTGAATAAGTGGCTGTGAGTCCAACTCGATCTTATGTTAACCATACACCTTTGAACTGTTTTTAAAATTCCTTTTAAAAAAATTCCTTTTATAGGGTAGGGAGTTACTGAAAGTTACTTTTTATTTTTTTATTTTTTTTAATGAACTAGGTTTTATTTGTTTATTTATTCATGATAGAGAGAGAGAGGGGCAGGAGACACAGGCAGAGGGAGAAGCAGGCCCGATGTGGGACCCGATCCTAGGACTCCAGGATCATGCCTTGGGCCAAAGGCAGGTGCTAAACCGCTAAGCCACCCAGGGATCCCCTGAAAGTTACTTTTTAATGATTGGGAAAGGCAAAGTGTAATAGAAAGATAGACGGGGGAGTATAGTGAAGTTGAAGCAGGAGAATAAGATAACCTAACTCTATGTGTTAAGTGAGTCACTGTAGTAGCACCAGAGGCTGGAGGGGACAGGCCTAGAGGAGGGAGATCCATGCAGGGTCTGACTCCATGGCTCAGGGGACCCACTGACCCCACTACTCGGGCCTTAGTAGTGGTGGAGGCAAGAGCTTCTGTCTTGGTGACTGGATGAGTCAAGAGAGAAGGAATAGAACAAGGCCCATTGTGCGCCTGCCAGCATTACTGAGGAATTAAGTAGGGGCTTCACATGTATCTTCCTTCATTTCTTCTGTAACAGCCCTGTGAAGGTAGGAACTTTTATTCCTATTTTATTTATTTATTTTTAATCTTTTAAAAAAGATTTTATTTATTAATTCATGATAGAAACAGAGAGAGAGGCAGAGACACAGGCAGAGGGAGAAGCAGGCTCCCTGTGGTGAGCCTGATGCAGGACTTGATCTCAGGATCCCAGGATCACAACCTGAGGTGAAGGCTCAACCACTGAGCCACCCAGGTGTCCCTTATTTTATTTTTAAAAGATGTTATTTATTTGAAAGAGAGAGAGAGAGAGCATGAGCAGAGTGAGGGGCAGAAGGAGGAGCAGACTCCCTGCTGATCAGGGGCTCGATCCTGGGACTCTGGGATCATGACCTGAGCCAAAGGCAGATGCCCAGCTGACTGGGCCACCCATTTTACACTTAGGGAAATTGAGCCTCGGAGAATTCCAGAAACTTCTCAAGATGAGCCAGTCAGCCCTTGGCAGAGCTGGAACTCAGCTGCAGGCATTCTGGGCCCTGGAAGCTGGTTTCACAGCAGTTACACTGTACCACTCCTGAGTCTGTTGGGAGTACAAGAAGGGGTGAGGGCACTGCCTGTGGTTCTAGCCCAGGGGAGTTCTCCCGGAGGCAGTGGGCATTTGGATGTGCTGCTCAGGAGAGTAGTCTAGGGTGAAATGGGATGGCCTCTGCCCCCATGGGTGGAATGTATGGGCTTACAGAAACTGCGGGTGGGGGCAGCCCTCGTGGCGCAGCAGTTTAGCGCCTCCTGCAGCCTAGGGTGTGATCCTGGAGACCCTGGAACGAGTCCCATGTCAGGCTCTCTGCATGGTGCCTGCTTCTCCCTCTGTGTATCTGCCTCTCTCTCTCTCTCTCTCTGTGTGTGTCTCTATGAATAAATAAATTTTTAAAAATCTTAAAAAAAAAAAAAAGAAAGAAACTGCGGGTGGAATGCTGGGAAGAGCCTTTGAAGGAGATGTAGGTACCAGCCAGAGAGGTTATAGAAGACAGGAGAGTGGGGCCTTCTGGAACCTACTTCAGCTGCTCAGCCATCAGCCCTCTGCTGGGGCAGAGAGAACAGTAAGCAGAGATGTGATTGCAAAGTTTCCCCAGCTTAGGTCTTCTTGTGGCAACATATGAGTCAGACCGGTGTGCGTGTGTGTCTGAATATGTGTGTTGTGTGTATGTGTATGCTCGTGTATGAGGCGGTGGTCTCACTGGAGAAAGGTTGTGGGTGACCAGGTGTGGCCAGCACATGGCTGAGCTCCATTCAGCTCTGTAGTCACTAAGGCTTGAATACAGATGCTATAAAAACCTTTCTAAACCAGCTCAGAAGTAGTCTGAGGATTGAGTAACACTTGCTCCCTTTCTTTTGCTCTTGAGATTGAGGACCCTCTTAGTCTCTATCCCAGAGTGTCCTCAGTGTCTGCTGTCACCTGGCTCTCAGGTCAGTCCTGGAGATAGGCAGGTCTCTTAATCTCCATTTTACTCATTGGGGAAGCAGACCTCAAAGATTGTGGAACTTGGTCCTGGCCAGCAAGAAGTAGAGACTGGTGTCCATAGCCAGATGCCATCTCCTCTGGACACAGACTCTGCCTTGTACCTGTCAATGGGATTCTAGTCTGAGGTGCCAGGGAAGCAGAGATCCTGAGCTAGCCCCCAGGAAGTAGAGTCAGGAGAATGTCATCTTTCCCTGGGCCACATTTATGGATTCGGGAGTACTCAGGCCACAATGAGGTAGATGTAGGGTTTTGGGGTAGGATTGCAAACAATTGGTCATGCTGTGAAAGGACCCTGTACCCCACTACCCTCACAGAGGCAGCCCACAGAGAAGCTACCTCCAGGTCAGACCAGCAGTGCCCTCAGGTGACAGCTCCACTGGCTGTGGCATGGCCCAGCCCTCCTTGGAGTGTGTGTGTTTTATGCTGCTGTAGCCCACCCAAGGCTGGGAAGCCGGGGACAAGTGGAGCTGGGACCTGGCTTGCTAAGACCAGTCAGAGGACAGGCTTGGACCTGAGCCCCAGTCACGAGACAAAGGTGTCAGAAGGGGGGAGGTGTTTACACATCTGACCTCGACAGGGGCTGATCTCTCTGGATCTCTAGTGGTTAAGTGGGAATCCTCTCAGATAAGTGGAGAAGCTATGGCCATCTAAACAGTTATAGTTATTTGGGGATGACAGCAGTTTGTGATGGTGTGTGGGGGTGAGGGGGCTGTCCCTGAGCCCTGCTGTTGGGAGGGTGTGATGGTCCATCTTGGCATCCCCCCAATCCGTCCTGTCCAGTGGATGTTGCTTTTGTGAAGTGTAGGTGTGGGTTATTTTCACACTTTCTCACAAGAAGGCAGACCCAGGGGATCCCTGGGTGGCTCAGCGGTTTGGCGCCTGCCTTTGGCCCAGGGCACGATCCTGGAGTCCCAGGATCGAGTCCCACGTCAGGCTTCCGGCATGGAGCCTGCTTCTCCCTCCTGTGTCTCTGCCCCACCCCTCGTAAATAAATAAATAAATCTTTAAAAAAAAAAAAAAAAGGCAGACCCACAGAGCAGGAGCTGCTGCTCTGCAGCCTTCTAAGTTGAGACTTCTGTGTCTATGACTCAAATTCAGGGAGGGTCCTGCATTGACAAGGGCAGAAGCAGTGTTCATGCTGGCCTCACAAAGGCCACCTGGCAGCATTCAGGTACAGCTGGTTCCCCAGCAGATAGATACTGTGTACCTCTGTGACTGGGCCCTGCCCTACGTGCTCAGTGCAGGGAGGACAGCTGTCACAAAACAGAGACACAAGTCCTTTCACGTAGTAAGAACACTAAAGGTAAAGGGGACAGAGACAGAGGAGGAGTGGCCCTTCTAGATAGAGGAATCAAGGAAGAGCTTCCTCCTAGGTGACGCCTGGGGAAACGTCTGGTTGAAGTGCTGCGTCAGTGAGTGTTGGGGGATGAGGTCACAGTCAGTGCAAAGGCCCAGGGTTCTACTAAAGCATTGTTCCTATCCCCTCCATCATTGTGGCTCCCCACCCCCTGTGCCTGCTTGTCATTCGATCTGCCTAACATTTATTTAAAACCCACATCTGAGCTCAGGAGTAGCCAACCTTGAGACACTGGTGGCAATGCATTGCCCAATGAGTGAGGGCCCAGGGTACGGCCTTGGTCTTCTGATGTGTGCTTTGGTGTCTCTTGCAAGTGGCCGCCGCAGTGCACCCTGCCCTCCTCTGCTGTGCTGCCCAGGCTGCTGGCTGGCCTCTGCTTCTGTCCCTGACTGGGTCTGTTGGCCACATGGAGTCTTTGTTCTCAGAAGAGGCCAAGGTGGCTGGCCTGGACAGGTCCCAGGGGCAGATTTCCTCCTCCCACCTGCACTGCCTCTGGAATGGGCAGCGCCATCTGCCCGGCCCATCCAAGATCTCTGCTTCCTACCCCCAGCTGCCCTCTGTACCCTGCTCCTGAGCCTGATTCAGAGCACTCAGCAAGCCCCGCTCAGGGAGGTGACGGAGGAGAGCCTAGAGCTCCCTTCAGCTGTGGAGGAGGTGCTTTTGAGCTGGACAGAGGGCAGGGAGGATTGGGTAGGTGGTGCTATGGACGGCAAGGCCAGCTGTGGGTCAGGAATAGGGGCTCCACCAGGAGGACAGGCTGTGTGCCAGGAAGTTTTAGGTCCTCAGGGAGTGCCAAGGGAGCGGGGTGGAGTCAGAGTCCAGCAAGACCGCGTGTGGAACGCCAGTTGAGTGAGGCCTTCTCTCTAGGGGTATGTCCGTGGTGCTACCATCTAGGACAGAGAAATCTGTTAGAGCCTATGCTGCATCAGAGGAGCAGCCACAGGGGCCATGGGGATGCCTCAGTGGGGGAGCAGGCCCAGAGCCAGCATTCCTGCTTGCTCACCCTAGCGATGGCACTAGGAACACCTAGATGGGCCAGATGGGGTGTAGAAAGCAAATAGCACCCCACTGGAGTGACGAGGTGACCAGGAGCCCAGAGGGCACAGCCAGGGGGAGTGCAGGGAGGGAACTGTGAGCTTGAGATCTTGTCTCCATAGCTTGCCTGTGTCCTTCCATATCCTTGTGCCTGGCACAAGGAGATCCCGCTCAGAACACCTTAGGAGGCTTCCTGGGATGGCATCCTTCCCTCTGCCCTCCTGAAGCAAATGGCCTCGCCCTGCCTCCTTCCCTGCCTGCCGTGAGCTCAGGCTGGTTGGTGGCTCGTACTGATACCTGCGGGACTCTGATGAGCTGGGCATTTCACTGCTTCCTGGCCTGGAGCTTAGCTGCCTCGAACCTCGAGCAGCCGATTCCTCGGGAAGATCGATGGGTCCTGCTGGTCATTCACAGTGCCACCTGGACTCGGCCGGGGTTTGTGGACGTCCCATGCCGAATGACTCCTTCTAACGTTTCTCCCCTCTCTGCATGTCTGATCTCGCACCCCGTGTAGGCATGACGAGTATTCTGATGTCAGCCATTGGACTCCCTGTGTGTCTTAGCCGCGCACCCCAGCCTGCCAGCCCTCCCGCCTCCTGTCTGGCCTCTAAAAGTCACAGCTCAGTTAAGAGATTGAGGAAAATGTCCATGAAAGGTAGTCCTGCTCACAAATATTCTCTGGCCTCTGCTAAGCCTCCGAGTCTTGCTGCCTCTGACTCTCCTGCATCGATCGCTCTTCTCTGACCCCACAGCCCTTCTCTGCTTCCTTTACCCCAAGGAGAGGGGCTCAGTGGCCCTTCTGCCTGCCCTCCGTGCAGAGGGGGTCCCCAGAATCACTTACCGCCGAAAACCCAGAGTTCAGCTCCTGTGTTCAGCTCCTGTGTTCCTGGCACAGTACGAGTGTGAGGGGCCTATTCTTGAGGACTCTGTGACTATAAACATAGGCATGAGGCGAGGCCAGCTTGGAATGGGGGGTACTTTGTCCCTCCCAGCCTGTCCAGCATGTGTCTCAGGAAAGGCCCCCAGCCCTCTCTGGCCACCATGCAGGACTACATCATAGGGGTCCCCCAGTGACCACTCTCCTCCCATCACATGGCCAAGAAGGAGGGGTTTCAGAACGATGGAAGCTTTTGTGAGTTTTAACCAGACCTACATAAAGGGTCCTGTGGGTAGTAAGTTCTAAACCTGCCATTTTGAAAGCCAATAGCGGCTCTGCCTCCATCTTTGGGCTGGAGATACATGGACTGCTGGAAGCCCAGTGATCTTCAGTGTGATGTGGTGAGCAGGGAGCATGGCTCTGGCTCAGCTATCCTGGGTGCCAGTCTTGGCTCCTGTTTCATGATCTCATGCTTGTGCCTCCATTCACAAGCCAGCACCTCCTATTTAGTAGATCAGGCATGGGAGGAATAGAAAATCCAATATGAGGCGCCCAGCATGTGGTCATGGGGGCTACCCTGATCATGGCGATTGCCTGTCAAACCCCAGCCCTGCAGGTAGCAGGGAGGCCCAGGGAGTGGTGGGGCTTTACACCCCATTCCCTGCCTCACCCCGATCCTGGCAGTCAGGCACACCTTAGAGCTCTTGACCCACTTCCTTCTTCCTTTGCCTTGGAGGTGGAAACAGATTTGGGGGCAGGACAGGTCCAGAGCTTCCTGAGATATTCTGACTTGCCTGGGAAAAACACAGGCTCTTGGCAGACACTCTGGCCTTCCTCTTGGGCTCAGATACCCCTTTCTTGGAGTTGGTGGTCACCTGGCTGGCCCCCTTAGAGAAATGTGGCTCCTGGAAAGCTACCTTCAGTTCTAAAAGACCACCTAGGCAAGGATGAGGAGCTAGGAAATGGGATGCTGAGCCAGGCCTCACCAAAGTTGGGCCTGAGACTAGTCCTGGCAGATGGGGTCCCGGGGTCCTTCTGCAGACTGGCCTGTAGCCAAGCTTTTCTAAAACACCCCTCCTCTGTCTCTGAGTAGAGTCCCAGCTACCAGGACGGCTACCAGCGCCAATGGTCATTGTGCTTTGGCCTGGCTTTCTCACCAGTGACTGTCAGGGGCCTAGAAATCTGTGTGTATGGGTCTGTATTTGAGGGAGGGTTTGCATGTATGGGAATGTGGGGTGCATGTGTGACGGGGGTGTCAGGTGTGTGTGGGGGGTGGGGGATACGTTTGTATGGGAATGAATGGGGTACTCATGTGAAGGGAGTGTGGGGACATTTATGTATGTGGATGAGGAGGGGTGCGTGAGTGAGGGGGTGGGGGATACGTTTGTGGAAGGGGGGATGGTATTCTTTTGCCCATAGCTGCCTCTCAGATAATTGCACTTCATGCCCTCACCGCAGTCATAGTTTGGGTCAGGATGAGGTCTCCATTAAGTGAAGAACTGAGATTCCGGTGATGTGCTTTGGTCCCAGGGTGGCCAGAATCACCCCTGACGTTGCCTGCTCCCAGCCGCACCCAGGCCTTCTTTAGTTTTGAGGGCACTTGGCTGTGGAGCCCTCGGGCTTGTATGTCTTTGTAGCCAGTGGCTATGAGCTTGGGTTCAAACCAGGGTCCTTCTGGGGTCAGAGGCTAGAAGCAGGACCTGCCCTGTGACCCAAAGCAGGAAGAGGAGCCCTGCCAGGGCTTTTCCCGGCTGCACTGGTCTCCCCAGGCCCCCCTTTCTGCTCCCGCACGGCTTTGCTGCATTCTCTGTCATTCTGCCACTGCCTCTGGCTGGAGAAGACCCGGGCCTGGCCAATTCTCTCACCAACTGGGGGAGTTTCTCGTTTTTGGGGGTATGGGGGGGCCGATGTGGTGTCAGGCTCAGCGTTGATGGAGGTGCAGGGCCGCCCCTCCTGGTTTCGAGCATGTGTGCACACCGAGGAGGGGGTGGCCAGAACACACTTCCTGCTGCGTCTTGGCTCCTTCCTGGGCTTGGTGTGTCACTGAAACCTCACAGCCCAGGGCCAGAAGAGAGAAACCTGTGATTTGTGGTGACCGTGTCTGTGTGGCATTGTCTACAGGTGGCGTGCGCACAGATGTCTGCCGCTGCACGTTCAGCCCCTGGAACTACTTTTGCCTCCGCTTTCTCACGAGAGTAGTGGCAGTTGAGTGAAACAGCGCTGCCAAAACCTGCTCCAGAGTAGTTTGTTTTAGCAGCTGCTGTTTGACTTTTCTGTGCATCCTCTGAAGAGCCTCCTGACCGAAGTGTGTGGGGATGTGGAGGAGGCCCAGTCTGTGACTCCTGAGGGCTATGAGCAGCAGCTGTCTCTGGTCCTTATCCAGCTGCCTCCAGGGCTTCTGGGATCGGGCCTCCAGCGGGTGGACCGGATAGGGCTCTGTTAGGCAGAGCTCTGAGTGTCTGCGCTAGTGCCATGTTTCTCCTCTCGCACACTCAGTCCTCCCGTCTTGGCCCCTCTAAACGTCCCTCCTGGCAGCTTGGGCCTCTCCCTTGTCCTCCTCTCTGGATTCAGCATCTCCAGTTCATACCCCTTGGGACACCGCTGATGTTCCTTTCTCTTCTAGGAGGGACTCCAAAGCCAGAGCCAGAACAGGTGATAAAAAAGTATACGGAAGAGCTGAAAATGGCCTCAGATGAGGTATGTGTCACAGGAGCCACGCTGCCTCTGGTTTTGTTTGGAGGCAAGGGGTGGCTCCTGAGGTGAAAGATACTGGCCTTTCTCTGCTGAGTGGGTACTTCCCAAGGTTCCGGCCTTGTTTCGGGTACTTGGGTTTAATCACCCAGCCTCCCACGGGAGGCAGGCCTTACCAAGAGGAGGTGATCTGGCTTCAGGGGCCTGCATTCTGCTTTTAGCTTTGCTGCTGATGAGCTGTAGTTCTGAGCAAGGCTCCTACACGGGCCTCTGTAGCCCTCTTCCTGTGCCATTCTGGGGCCTTGGAGGGTCCTAGAGACAAGGGATGGGAGAGCCTCCCCATTCCCCGAGGACCGAGCTGGGGAAAATTAGTGACTTTGTCCCCAAAGCAGCCCTGCCCCTCTGGCTATTGGGAGAGCTGGTTAGCCTTCCTGTAATTACAGGGCCTGCAGACCCTCATAGCAGCTTCAATAGGACCCGATCCTCTGTGCTGAGCCATGTTTTGGGGTCTACAGTGCCACTGGTCTCTGATTTGAATGGAGAGCTCCAAGGACTCTGAGGGTGGTGGGTGGGAGTCATGGGTTAAAGGGTAGTTACGCCAGTACAGAACCACATACTCTGCCTGTGCAGGACTCTCCTGCAGCTCTGGGTGATAAAGGTTCAGTAACCTGGAGGCCATCCTTGTGTCTCCCACCATCCCTCCAGCCCTGTCTATGCTCCCACCTGACAGCGCCCACATCAGTGTCCTTGTCTTTGCCCTTGTGGCCCTGCCATACCTGGGCTGCTCCATGCCAGCCTCCTATCCTCCAAGCTGCCACTCAGCTTACACACAGTTGTGATTGTGCTGGTACCCCCAACCTTAAAACTCCTCTACAAGGCCCCTGACATGTGAGACAAAGCCCAGCTCTTGAGTGTGGCCATCAGAACCTTCGGGGACCTGGTCCTGTCCCGTCTGGCTCTTTTATACCCTACTTACCCCTCAGCCCCAGTGGCTGCCACTGCTGTTCCCAGACTCTGCTGGTTCCTGCTTCACGACATTCTCTGCCCTTTCCTTGGACTGGATATTCCCATCCTTGCTCACCTTGTCCTTTTTTCCTTGTGATACCCCACTTCAAGGGCCTCGCCTCTCAGTAGCCTGCCTATTTTTTCCCCTTTCCCTGCCTCTGTGTGGCCTGTGCTGCTGTTACTGCCAAGGCCCCCATGTGTCCTGTGCTTGTGGTTGTCTGTTGTCCCCTTGACTGGTGAGCCCTTTGAGGGCACAGATCCTGGTGACTCACCTGTCTTCCCAGCCTCTGAGATAGCTGACTACCAGACTGCCCAGAATCCTGGTGTTTCAGCAGAGGAAGGCCTTTTCCTATTAAGAATACCTCCACACCTGTGGCTCAGCAAGCTGTTGGTGAGCATGCCCTGTGCTGGTCTCCTTCCAGGACTGCATCATCTGTATGGAGAAACTGTCCGTGGTGTCCGGGTACAGCGACGTGACCCACAGCAAGACCATTGGGCCAGTCGCAGTGGGCCGCCTTGCCAAGTGCAGCCATGCCTTCCACCTGCTGTGTCTGCTGGCTATGTACTGCAATGGGAACAAGGTGCCACACCTCTGTCCCTGGGATGGGCGGGGGGCCAGGGTGACCTGCCCATGGGCCTGCCCTGGTCCTGCTGCATCTGAGCCCGTGACTGACTGCCGCTGCCCTGCAGAGGGCCCAGGACACCCTAGGAGGCAGCCTTGAGATGTCGGCAGGCCCTGGCCTGCAGCAGAAAAGAGGTTGGCCACTGGGGGGCTGAGGGTGGCAAGTGACACCTGGGTGCCATCCTGCAGAGGAGTTTAACCAGAGTGGATGGAAGTTTGGAGGACAGAGAGAAAGACCTGAGTCGTGTGGCAGACCATTGGGCCTGGCTTCCTCTCCCTGAAGTATCCCTGTGCTCTCTGAACCAGCCAGGGTGCCAGCACCAGCAGTGATAGGTCACAGGGTTTTTTGTTTGATTTGAAACCTGTCAGACCATAGATTCTTCTGTGCATAAACCTGATTTGCCTACTTGATGCCAGTCTCCTAGTAGAACATCTTTCCAGGGAAGCCATGAGGATTGGGTTTCTTTTCTTTCTTTCTTAAGATTTTATTTTACTTTTTTAAAGATTTTATCCATTTATTTATGAGAAGCAGAGAGAGAGAGAGAGAGGCAGAGACACAGGCAGAGGGAGAAGCAGGCTCCACGCAGGGAGCCCGACTTGGGACTCAATCCCAGGTCTCCACAAGATCACACCCAGGGCTCAAGGCAGCGCTAAACCGCTGAGCCACCCAGGCTGCCCAAGATTTTATTTATTCGTGAGAGAGACACAGAGAGAGAGAGAGGGGAGCAGGGAGCAGAGACACAGGCAGAGGGAGAAGCAGGCTCCATGCAGGGAGCCCGACTTGGGACTCGGTCCCAGAACTCCAGGATCATATCCTGGGCCAAAGGCAGCCATTCAACTGCTGAGCCACCCTGGCATCCCGAGGATCCGGTTTCTATGCAAGGAGGGAGTGGGGTGATAAGCCAGGGACCTGCTGTGGAGCAGTGAGCCCACCTGTGCCCCAGGTGGCTGCGCCTAGGCACTCTCTCAGGGCCACGGGCTCAGTCTGTGGTACTCTGCTTCGTCTCAGGACGGAAGTTTGCAGTGTCCTTCCTGCAAAACCATCTATGGAGAGAAAACTGGGACCCAACCCCGAGGCAAGATGGAGGTATTCAAGTTCCAAGTATCCCTCCCTGGCCATGAGGACTGCGGGACAATACTCATAGTTTACAACATTCCTCACGGCATCCAGGTAAGGGGCCCTGGTACAAGAGGAGCCTCCTTGGACCATTCTGGAATTGGTCCCTCTCACTCTGGGGCACTCTTCTTCCTGCTTCACCCCTCTCCCAGCAGTCTGATTCCTGGGTCACTCAGGATGCCCTGGCTTCCCAATTTCAGGCTCTCAGGAACCAAAGGGCTCTAGCATCTGGGGGTAGAATAAGCTTATAGTGCTGTGGAAACAAAGAGATGGCCTTCAGCCCTTTCCTGATGCAGGGAGGGCATCCTGGAGGTGGAGACATCTTAGCTGGGCATGTATTGGGCAGAAGAATGTACAAATAAGAAGAATGCTTGTGTGCTTGTGTTGAGGGGCTGAATAATGGGGGAACCCCATAGGGCAGGGAGATGCCAACAGTAAGGACTGCTCTTGAGAGGCCAGCTCAGTGGCCAGATCCAGGCCTGCCTTGGGTGTGCACGGTCAGCTCTGGTGGCGAGAATAAGACTGGAACCTGAGCAGAAGGCCCTAGGGTCCCAGTAGAGACCCAGATAGGAGCCCTGGGGCTTTGGGCCTCTTGCATGGGTGGTGGCCAGGTGTGGGGGCGAGGGGTAGATAAACAGGGCAATGGAGACCAGGACCCTTATGGGCCCGTCTGATAGGTGGGGTGTCCCTGTTCAACAACATTCTTTTTCCTGGTTTCCCTCCACGTCTTTTCAGTGGGTCATAGTGGATTTTAAAAACATTCCAGACAAGGGACGCCTGGGTGGCTCAGTGGTTGGGCGTCTGCCTTCAGCTCAGGGCGTGATCCTGGAGTCCCAGGATCGAGTCCCACATCAGGCTCCCTGAGCGGAGCCTGCTTCTCCCTCTGCCTGTGTCTCTGCCTCTCTCTGTCTCTCTTTCTGTCTCTCATGAGCAAATAAATAAATCTTTAAAAAGAAAAAAAAAACATGGGACGCCTGGGTGGCTCAGCGGTTGAGTGTCTGCCTTTGGCCCAGGTCCTGGAGTCCCGGGATCGAGTCCCACATCAGGGTCCCTGTGTGGAGCCTGCTTCTCCCTCTGCCTGTGTCTCTGCCTCTCTGTCTCTCATGAATGAATATAACCTTTAAAAAAAAAAAAAAGAAAAACATTCCCGATGGCCTTAGAGTCACAGAGCAGGGGGGGAAATGTGGTGTTGTACATGGTGTGCCTCCGAGTGGCAGAGGGCATGAGCAAGGACCCTCTGCTGTTCCAAGCCCCCTACCTTTCTGCTCTATTTGCACTGTCTCAGGCCCCACAGTGGCTCCATCTTGAGCAAGGGGTAAGGGTGTCAGGAAGGAGGCCCTGCCATCTAGGCCGCAGAGCCCAGCACCTGGAGGCAAACACCAGCGGGGTGGGAGCATGTGCCTTGGCCTTTGATGAGTTCCAGTCTCATCAGGGAAGGGGGAGACATTAGCAGAAGTGTCTGATGCCACATCTAGTGGCATGGGGTCAAGGAAGGTGGTCACTGGGGGGAGGCCATGTCATGTCGGGTCTCTGAGGGGCAGGATTTGAGACACCAATTTATTTGGTCACTTTGAGTACAGGAATAGCCCCAGCAGAGGAGGCCTAGCGTGTGCTGGGCTGCTGCGCTCCTCTCAGGATGTTCCTACTCGTAGTGTCTGTTCTTCCTGCAGGGCCCGGAGCACCCCAACCCTGGGAAGCCGTTCACTGCCAGGGGGTTTCCCCGCCAGTGCTACCTTCCAGACAATGCCCAGGGCCGCAAGGTAAGGCCCTGCAACCCTTGGGGAGGGCCCCCCAGCTGGTAGGCCTGTGCCTGGCTGCTTGTGGACAATTTGAGCAGGTGATTTAGGGAGGGTCTAGCCTGCTGGCCATACCTTCTCTGCTTAGCTCATCTTCTTCTTCTAGGGCTCCCAGGGACTGCTGTGCATTAGGCATGCTCCCCCAAGGGAGAGGACTAGAGGGGAGAGGAGGCCTCTTCCAGCAACCTTTTGGGCCAGATCACCTGGTCTTCAGTCAGGCTAGCGTGATGAGATTGATGGGGTGGGAGTGGGGGCAGGACAGAACAGGGTGACTGGGATGGCCTGCAGAGCCACCTCGGCACTGAGCCACCTCTGCACTGAGACTAGGGGGAGAGCATTCTAAGCAGACAGAAGAGCTCAGAGTGGTGGCTTTGAGAGTCATGGAGGTAGGCTGGGCAGGAGAGTGTGAAGAGTCTAAGGGAGGAGCCTGAGCCCCATGTGGGGGCAATGAGGCCTGGGGACAGGCTGCCCTGGGTAGTGCTGATTGGAGGTATGAAAAAGTTCCCTCTAGCTGCTGTGAGCCTAGCCTGCAGGTTGCTGAGTGTGGGGGAGCAGAGAAGCAGGGATTCCCTCTGGAGGGAGAGGCTGACTTGGAAGTAGGGCAGAGTTAGCCTGGCCCCAGGTGTGGCTTGAGCAGTACAGAGGATGGCAGCACTCGCCCTCTGAGGTTGGGGGTCGTCTTGGGCAGTCAGGTCAGCAGGTGGAGTTCTGGAAGGGGAGTTAGGACTGGACCCAGAGGCTGGGGACCCCAACAGATGGGGCTCTAGGTCTAGGACTGTAGATGAGGTCACTTAGGAGAGTGGCCCGGTCCCTGCCCTGCAAGTGGTTCACAGTAGGGATCGAACAAAGGGCTTTTCCGTCCCTCAGTGTGCCCACAGCTGGCATTTGGTGGGTCGCCACTGCTGCAGTCCTAGCCCTCACTGCTGGGGCAGGTGAGACCAGGGAAGGAAGAGGGCACAGCCAATGCTAGCACACTGGTCCCCTGCTGCTCCTGGGTGGAAAAACCCATGCCCAGGCCTGGGCTTGTTCACCAGACCCTTCCTCCTTTCCCGTTCTCCACGGCAGGTCCTGGAACTGCTGAAGGTAGCCTGGAAGAGGCGACTTATCTTCACAGTAGGGACTTCCAGCACCACAGGAGAGACGGACACAGTGGTGTGGAATGAGATCCACCACAAGACAGAGATGGACCGCAACGTGACAGGCCACGGCTACCCTGACCCCAACTACCTGCAGAATGTGCTGGCCGAGCTGGCTGCCCAGGGAGTGACTGAGGACTGCCTGGAGCAGCCGTGACTCCCCAGCCTGGCCAGCCCCCTCCCCACCCTACCATGCCTGCCTCTGGCAGCCAGCCACCCTCTACCCACGCCGCCGGCTGGGCTGCCCCTGGGATGGATGGGCAGGCAGGAAGGTGCCTTTCCTCAGAGGCTGCGGTGTGTGTTGGGGGCCTGCCTTCTGCCGCCTCCTCCCCTCCAGGCCTGGATGTGTGTGGAGTTGGGCAAGCCTGGGGAGTTGTACTCGTGGGGGCTTAAGATGCAGCTACCTCAGTGTGTGGGGCCCTGCCCTGGGCAGGCGGCTTTGGGTTCATAGTGCCGGGGGCCTGGTGTGGGGTGAGGCCAGACTGCCCCATTGTGGCCTGGGCAGGCGTGGGTTCCCTGTCAGCTTCTCATACCTCAGACATTCTGTTTGCAATAAATGCCGTATAGCCAAAGTCAGAGACCCTGGTGTGTTTGTCGGTGGAGAGGCTGTGCGTCTGTGTGCTCGTGCTCGCATGCTGGTGCGAGAAGCAGCACACACGTGTCCTGCATCAGAGCAGGAGGGAGCCCACAGACTGCCTATTCAACCCGCATTCCGTTAATGACAGGCTCTGCGGTGAGGGCCAGAAGCCCACACGCTGACCTGGTGCTGCTCCCTTGGCCCTGACTCCATGCTCCTCGTGTGTGCCGTCCAGCCGCTCTGCCAGGCCCTCCATGCCGTTCATTCCCCAAGTGAGACACTGCTCACTGCTCGTGCCTGGAAGGTGCTGCTGTCTTCTACATTGTAGAGGAGGGAGCAGGTTCAAGGATGCAGTGACTGGCCCAAGGTCCCAGGCTCGCGGTAGATAGAACTGGGGCTGGAATTGGGCCAGGGCTGATATGACCCCATCCTCAAAGTTCTAATTCTCAACCATCTTGGGAGGATCAAATACTCCAGCCCCCTTCTGCCTGGGGGCAATGATTGTGCCTGGGGCTGCAGGGACACTGGCCACATCCTGAGTGGGCCAGGGGTACTTTTGCCTCCACCAGAAAAAAAAAAATTCTGTTTTATGCATTGGTATAAAGATGAGTATATTAGGGACACCTGGGGTGGCTCAGCGGTTGGGCATCTGCCTTTGGCTCAGGGTGTGGTCCCAGAGTCTGGGGATTGAGTCCCATATCAGGCTTCCAGCATAGAGCCTGTTTCTCTCTCTGCCTGTGTCTCTGTCTCTCTCCCTCTGTCTTTCTCATGAATAAATAAATAAAATCTTTTTTAAAAGATGAGTATGTTATATATTAAAGCATTTTTCTTCAATCTAGAAGTTTGGGTTTTGAGGGGCACCTGGCTGACTCAGTAGAGCATGTGACTCTTGATCTCAGGGTCTTGAGTTCAAGCCCCATGTTGGGTGTAAAAATGACTTTTAAATCTTTAAGAAAAAAAAAGTAGTTACCCTATGACTCAGCAATTCTTCCCCTAGGTGTGTATCCAAAAACAGGTCCACACAAAACTTGTATATAAACGTTCATGGCAGTATCATTCATAACAGCCAAAAAGTGGGAACAGCCCCACTATCTCTGTCAGCTGAGGAGCCGGGAGACAAAATGCCTGATCTCCATACAGGGGAGTGAACGTTCTGTAGCCCTCAGGAAGAACAGAGGCCTGCCACACGCTACAGCATTAATGAACCTGGACAACAAGATGCTAAGTGAGAGAAGCCAGACCCAGAACTCCGCGTGTGTGATCCCATTGATGTGAAATGTTCCCTATAGGGAAGTCTGCAGAAGCCCAGGGTAGATATATGGTTGTCAAGGGAGCGGGGAATGGGGAGGGACTTTGTGGGTCCAGAGTGTCCTCTTGGGGTGATGCACATGTTCTGTACTTAGTGGTGATGTTTGCACAACCTTGTGAAAACCTACTGAGCTGTAGGCTTTAAAAGGATGAATTTGGGATCCCTGGGTGGCGCAGCGGTTTGGCGCCTGCCTTTGGCCCGGGGCGCGGTCCTGGAGACCCTGGATCGAGTCCCATGTCGGGCTCCCGGTGCATGGAGCCTGCTTCTCCCTCTGCCTCTCTCTCACTCTGTGACTATCATAAATAAATAAAAATTTAAAAAAAAAATAAAAAAAATAAATAAAAGGATGAATTTTATGGTCTGTGAATTATATCTTAAAAAAAAATTTTAAGATTTTATTTATTCATGAGAGCGAGCAAGAGGCAGAGACACAAGCAGAGGGAGAAGCGAGAGAGAGAGAGAGAGAGAGAGGCAGAGACACAGGCAGAGGGAGAAGCAGGCTCCATGCAGGGAGCCCGACATGGGACTTGATCCCGGGTCTCCAGGATCAGGCCCTGGGCTGAAGGCAGTGCCAAACTGCTGAGCCACCCGGGCTGCCCTAAAAAATATATATATATATCTTAAAAAATAGAACTAAAAGGAGTAAAGTAAGTGGGAGACTGGCTTGTCACCTATCAAAAGTCCTTCCTCTGACTCCAGATTCTTCTGTTAGACAAAAATGTGGCCTCGTGGAGGGAAGGCAGGGCACTGAGATGGCCTGGATCCCGGGGGCTGTCCTGGGGCTGCAGCTGGGCAGGTCAGGCGGGGCCTCTGCATCCTGCTCCCACTCTGCTGGGTGGGGATGGAAGGCCAGAGGGAGGCTCCTGGCACCTGGGGTGCAGGAATCTCGGGCATGTAGTCCTGAGCCCTTGTTTCCAGAGACTGGGTCCTCTCGAAGGCAGAGAGGCTGGGTGGGACCCAAATTCAGACATGGGGCTCTGGGGGTCTGTGGCATCCGCCTCAGGCCTGGCACTGGGGCCTGGCACTGGCTTGCCCCACCTACAGCCCTGCCCAGCTCCCTTATGGTAGGCTGAGCTGGTGGGAGAGGGTGGGGTGCGTTTACATTTTCAGGTCTTTCCAGCCCTTGGTCAGCCTGGCAGCCTGACTAACCAGCTCCTCCTGGCTCAAGGCTCTGGGGGAGAGGGTGTGGCAGGAGGTAGCCAGATCAGCCCCAGGCTGTGAATGTGGAAGAGGGCTGAGCTGGGGTGGCCATCATGGGGCTCCGCCAGAGGCAGCCTGGCCCATCGCTGCTCCTCCTCCTCCTCGTGGGGACACTGGTCTGGCCCCTGCCCTGTATGAGCCTGAGTGAGTAGGGGTCCAGGGATGAATTCACCCGGCCAGATGAAAGGGGCTGGGACACCTGCAGGGGGGTGATTGGACTCTGGGACCCCACCCCTCCAACAGGGGACAGCAGGTCCCAGGACCCTCATGCCTATCTCCATGGCTGCAGAGCTGATCCCCTACACGCCACAGATAACAGCCTGGGACCTGGAAGGGAAAGTCACAGCTACCACATTCTCCCTGGAGCAGCCTCGCTGTGTCCTGGACTGGCCTGCCAGTGTTGCCAGCACCGTCTGGCTGGTGGTGACCTTCAGCAACGGTGTGTCATGGTGTAGGTCTGGGGCTGAGGAGGGCTGCAGGGTAGTGGACTAGGCATTGGGCCTTATCCTGAGGGACCCTGAGAGGGTGACTAAGTAACCTGATTTGTGTCTGAAGGGGGTCTCTGGGCCCTGAGGCAAGGAGGGCCAGGCTGGGGGACCCTGGACCCAGGGGCTATGCTTTCTGACCCCACCTGTCTGTCCCTTTCTCCTGTAGCCTCCAAGGACTTCCATAACCCACAGACGCTAGCTGAAATTCCAGCCTTCCCGCGGCTGCTGACTGATGGCCACTATATGACACTGCCCCTGTCCCTGGACCAGCTACCCTGTGAGGACCCTGAGGGTGGCAGCAGGAGCATCCCCCTGCTGCGGGTGGGCAATGACCCTGGCTGTCTTGCTGACTTCTACGAACCACCCTACTGCAACAACCCCCTCCCCAGCCCTGGACCTTACAGGTGGGTCACTCCCTCTGGACCCTGGGACAGGAGCTGTGCTGGGGGGAAGAGGTCTAGTTTTGGTTTATTCCTCTGTGGGGTCAAAGAGCAGCACTCATCCCAGCTGGGTGGCAGGCAGAGTGTGGTCTTTCCAGGGGGCCTGCCTATGAGGAAGAAGTGGGCACCACAGGGCTGGTGGGGGCAGGGTGGGGTTTCTGGCCTAGAGTCGGGGGGTTGGGGAGCTGCAGCCACTGGCCCACAGGTAGACCTGGCAGGAATCTAAGCCCAGGGCTAGGTTTGGACGCAATTAGTAGGTATGAGGTCATGTGGTAGGTGGGGAGAGGGGCCAGAGTGGGAGCACAGGTGTCCAGAGGAGGGCTGCTTGGGCCACAGGACAGGACCAGGTGTCCTCAAGGAGTCCAAGTCCAGCTGAGAAAACCAACACAGGGTGCAGGGAAGGTGGATCACTGTATGGGCTGAACTGACACTTCCATTCATAGCCTCCCTCTGGCCCCTGCCCCGACAGGACCACCTTCCCACCTCCCCCATGCCCACTTCCTGGCTCACCTCCTGCCCCCACAACCAGCAGCCACCAGAGCTGGCTGCCCTCAGATACAGAGCTCCCCACCTGGAGCAAAGATAACAACCTGAGCTCCTCTGCATGGCCTCTGGCGCCCTCCCTGTGATCCCAGGCTCCGAGTGTGCCCTGACCACACCCCTCCCTCCCTCCCTGGACCTTTGCTTAGGGTGTTCGACCCTATTGGGGGCCTTCTGTCGCTTCTTAGATGCTACTTGGCCAGCTTTTCTCCCTTGGCAAGGCCTGGGACCCCTAGCTCCCTCTGACACACTGAGCCACCCTGAGGCATTCTGTATGTAGCATTTAGTAACTGGGGTCCCCTAAACCAGATGAGGTATCTGGACTGGGACTGCTGGCAGAGGTCACTGTGGTCAGAGAGATGTCAGAGGATCCCCAGAGCATCACCAGGCCGTGGCTAAGCCAGATGTGCCCCAAAGGAGCCTGGCCCAGAACTCCTGGGGCTTGGCCACTGTGGGCACCCTACCCAGGGCAGTTGAGGCTTTGAGCCTCACCTGTTTTTCCTCTCCCCAGGGTGAAGTTCCTCTTGATGGACGCCAGGGGCTCACCCCAGGCTGAGACCAGGTGGTCCGACCCCATTACTCTCCACCAAGGTAGTGCTGGGGGAGGGGGTGCTCTGGCTACAGTCTGCCCGTCCCCCTGCTAAATGGCCATGCCCAGCCAGCCTCTCCTCCTGCTGCCATGAGACTGGGGGTCTGGGGGCAAGGTCTGAGTCCAGCCCATCCCCCAAAACAGAACCTCGTGTGGGTGAGGTAGGGCACTGGGTCAGTCTCATTGACAGAGACAGCTCTGTCCAGGCTCAAATGTTGGTTAACCCTTGGGTGCCCAGGTCCCAGTCCAGTTGTGTGCAGGAAAAGCCTTCCCCTCCAACGCCAGCCCTGAGTCAAGTGCTACCTACCAGGTGGAGAAGGGCTAGGGCATGAAGGAGGCTGGAGTCAGAGTCAGGGCCGTGGGTTCTGGGAGACTTCCCTCAGCAGGACCCTAAGGGACCAGTGATTCACCAGGCCAAGGAAACTGCATATGGAAAGCCAGTGTCTGGTGTGAGGGACAACTCGAAGTAGGCTATAGAGGCTGGGGTGTTGGGTAAGGTGGGCAGCAGGGGGTCTTTTCATCAAAAAGCCTTGAATACCAGACTCCAGGGAGCAGCCACATGGTCAGTCCTGAGGTCTGCTGCAACTTTGCCTGCCATGGGCAGGGCAGTGTGTGGGCACATTGGCAAGAACAGCCTAGAAGGTTAGACCCAAGAGGCTGGAGCTGTGGGTGGTCCAGGCTGACAGGGTACAGATGCCTGGCTGAGATGGGTGGGCTCAGAGGCTCTCAGGCCCTGAGTGTTAGCCTGGGTGTGGAAGTGACTGCTCTGGGGTCAAGGGGCAGCCTCTGAGAGCAGCTGCTATGTGCAGGGAAGGCCCCAGGCTCCATCGACACGTGGCCAGGGCAGCGAAGTGCTGACATGATCATCATCACCTCTATCCTCTCCTCCCTGGCTGGCCTCCTGCTCCTGGCCTTCCTGGCAGCGTCCACTGTGCACTTGTAAGTGCTGATATCCTCATGGGCCTCTCTCCCACCCTGGGGAGCCCCTTCCTTCTCACTGGTCCTAGCACTTAGAAGCCCTCTAGGAACCTGGCGGTTTTGAGTTGGCAGTGCCCCTTCCAGGGATGTTCAGGGAATTTCCACCCCAAGTATCTCTCACCTGCAGGGCAGGGAGGTGGCCCAGCAGCTTCTCTGAAGATGGGTTCAGAAAAGGGGCCACCTTGCTCTGCCCTGCCCTTCACTGTATCCTTGGCCCCAGCCTTTCTCCTCCTGGGCCTTGTTTTCCCTCCCATGAGCCCTTAGTCACTTCAGAGAACTGATACCAGGGTAGTCAGGAGGTGGGCCAGCAGCAGCTGGTTCTAGAAGGAAGGAAAGGGGGAGGCTGTGGGAGGAGGCCCTGACTTGGCAGGCCACTCGACCCAGCAGGGACCCAGTGCCGCCTCCTCTCCCCATCCAGCTCCAGCCTGTGGTGGCCTGAGGAGGCCCCGGAGCAGCTGCGGATTGGCTCCTTCATGGGGAAGCGCTACATGACCCACCACATCCCACCCAGCGAGGCCTCCACCCTACCTGTGGGCTGTGAGCCTGGTCTGGGCCCCCTCCCCAGCCTGAGCCCCTAGCCTAGTGTCTGAGGCATGGCCGTGGGGTGTGGGGGGCAAGTACCCGGTGCTCATCCCCAGCCTCTGCACCCACCTGCCTCTCCTGCTTCGCACTTCCCCACCCAGCCTAAAGTCCCCCTGATGTAGGAAAGATACTAGGGTTCGTAGCCCACGGCCGAGAAAGAATTCTTGAGACGTCTTTGGTGCAAAAAGATGACTTTATAAAAGCACAGGGACAGGATCCAAGGGCAGAGAGAGCTGCCCTGGGGTCATGAGGAGTGGCCCATTATGTACTTTCAAGTTGGGAGGGGTTTAGGGAGCGAGTAAGCCTCCCAGGTATTTTGGAAACGTGGTTTCCAGGATTCTGAGGGGACTAGCCATTGTTAAGAAAAGGTGATTTATTACTGTTTAGCAAAAATTGTCATAAGACTCTTCAGATGTATATCGGTGGGTCATATGCTTGGAGGCTGACTGCCAACATATATCACGCGGGGGTAGAGATAAAGGCGGTTTCCAAAGGAATTTTTATACCTTTCAGTAGACTTACAGGGAGTCCCGGTGGCTCAGCAGTTTAGCACCGCCTTCAGCCCAGGGCGTGATCCTAGAGTCCCGGGATCGAGTCCCACATCAGGCTCCCTGCATGGAGCCTGCTTCTCCCTCTGCCTGTGTCTCTGCCTCTCTCTCTCTCTCTCTCTCTGTCTCATGAATCAATAAATAAAATCTTTAAAAAAATAAAAAAATAAAGTAGACTTACAAGGTCCTGGGGAGGATGAGCTAAGATTGCCTTTGCCCTTAGCAAAGTGTCAACATCGAGGCAGCTAGGGATCTCTGGGTGGCGCAGCGGTTTGGCGCCTGCCTTTGGCCCGGGGCACGATCCTGGAGACCCAGGATCAAATCCCACGTCGGGCTCCCTGCATGGAGCCTGCTTCTCCCTCTGCCTCTCTGTCTCTCTCTGTGTGACTATCATGAATAAATAAATAAAATCTTTATTTTTATTAAATTTTTATTTATTTATTTATGATAGTCACAGAGAGAGAGAGAGGCAGAGACACAGGCAGAGGGAGAAGCAGGCTCCATGCACCAGGAGCCCGACGTGGGATCCGATCCCGAGTCTCCAGGATCGCGCCCTGGGCCAAAGGCAGGCGTTAAACCGCTGCGCCACCCAGGGATCCCCTAAATAAAATCTTTAAAACAAAACAAAACAAAACATCGAGGCAGCTGAGTCCCTAGAGGAATGTCACTCTGCCTGTTTCAAGGACTTGTCAGTGAGCTGTAGGCAGTAGGAAATTTAATAATTTCTCTTTTGTCTTTGTTTCGCATATCACCACCACTAGCAGGCTTGCCTTTGCCTTTCCTGTTCTGCAGTCCCCAGGGAGGGTCAGGGTCAGGCTAGCATGCAGCCCCACTTCCATCCTTACCCCTGCTCTGCCTGGCCTCCTGAGAGAGACACTACAGGTAACGTGGAGAAGCTTCCAGGATCCGGGAAGGGAGCCGTCAGGGGATTGGGCGGGCCCGTCACAGGGTGTATGGGGCCAAGCCTCCCTCTGTCTCTCCACCCCACCTTCCAGTGTCTGGGGCCTTCAGAGGCGCCTCATTATCCTTGGGCCCTTTCAGAGGGTGGTCAGAAGGTCCGAGTGAGGAGACGCACATTGTGACCGTCCGACCACTGATTCCCCCACGTCCAGCCCTGCTGCACACACAGATGGCTTACTCGTTCTCACGCCACAAACACTTATTAAGCACCTGCTGTATGCCACTGACAGTGTTAGACATGGGGCCTCAGGCAGAGCCAGTCCTGATCTTGGGGAGCTCATTCACCGCTCTGGACCTGTGATGCCCACATGTCCAGATGTGAGATGTTACTGTTAGGCCTGTCACGCCTTCAGACTGTCACATACCCTCGGATTCACACTCCTTGGATGATCACCTTAAAGAGCTCTCTGAGGCCCGGGAGCCTTCCCCCATCATCCGGTATCCCCGCTAACGACCGAGTTCGCAAAGCCGGTGGTTCCTGCTGTGGCCACACGGGGGCGCCGATGCGCTGCAGCTGGGCCCCGCGCACGCGCACTCCTATTCACAGAGCGGCTGGACTCTAGGCTGGGGGCCTCCTGCAGTGACCTGAGGCCTAAGAGCCCCCGCCACGCAGTGGGGTCTCGGGCTCCAGGCCTCATCTCGGCCAAGTCAGATGGATGAGCAGTCACGCTCCCGCCTGAGGGCCTACTATGTGCTGTCCAGTCTGCACAACCGCCACCGTTCTGTACATTGAGAAACTGAGGCTCGGCGACTCGTCCTAGCCCTCTGTCCACTGCCGCCGCCCGCCCGGCCCCACCTCCCGTGCCCTTGGGCTGCTCCTTGCTTCCCCAGCCTGACTGCGGCTCCCAGCATTCAGGCCCCCCCAGTGGCGCCCGGCGATGGCCCATGTATGCCTGCCCTCTTCAGAGGTGAATTAACAGTGGTCGGGCTCCTCCATCACCAAGGGGTGCCCATGCTGGGTGGGGGAGAGACGCATCTGCACCCAGGACCCAGCCTGGCTTCACCCGTCCAGCCCCGGGTCTGCCCTGAGCCTGTCCTTTTGGCTGGTAGCCCTAACTGCACTTTGGGGATGCCCCATGGCCTAATGGGCCCCAGGGAAACCCACCCTTCACCTCAGGGCCAAGAAGCCAACCACCAATGCAGCTTCTGTGGCTTTAGCATTGCTCCCTCCCAGGAGAACACCAGGGAGGTTTGCTTCCAAAAACCCATGAACCCCTGGCCCCTAGTGGTTTATCCCCCATCCTACCTACACTCCCACCAGCCACAAGGCATCCTCCAGGTGCAGGCAGAAGCAGATTCGAATGCAGTCAGGAGCTCAGGCTCCAGCGTCCTGAGTGACATCTGGCTATGGGGAGCCAGCCCGTTTGGGCAGCCACTTTTGAAATTCTGCTGCTATGGAATCTAGGACCCTCCTGACCTCTTGGTATTGGAGAATGATTAAAAGTGCCCTCCACTCTCACCAGCTATATCCAGCAGAGCCCATCTTGTACTGTCCTGCCCAGGCTGGCTCCAGCACCAGATGGAGAGGCCCTCTAGGCCTGAATGCCCAGCTTGGGGCCTGTCCAGGTGGGTATGGCGAAGAGGAAGAGGCTGGTGTTTGCTGAGTGAAAACATGAATGAACCAGCTCAGAGCTGGAGGATAAGGCAGGAGCAGAAATTGCCCTAAACTTTTATGTGTCCCAGGGCCCTATTTTGGCTTATACTGACCCTAGACACAGCCCCAGTGATGCCCCATGTGTGCCCAGGGCTGTGCTTCGCTTCTGAACAACACCCTGGAACCCTGCTGAGGAGTTGTTTTCACCCCATCTGGCCATCTGGGCCTTGACCCTGAAGACAGCCTCCAGGGAGACATTGCAGCCCAGTGGGTAAAGCATAACCCAAGGGAAGAAAGTGACCCCACCTGAAGGTCAAGGTGGCTTCCCAAGGGTGACTTCTGAGATGAGTCTTGAGGGGCACAGAGAAGTGAATCAAGTAGCAGAGGGAAGGCGGGAGGAAGAGAGAGTGAGAGAGTTAGGGAGACCAGGTGTAAACAGTCTCACCCCATGGTGGCAGGGGTGGTGCCCAAGGGTTGGCAGCAGGGATGAGGGGCTAGGAGGCCAGGATGAGGGAGACTGGCCTGGTCTTCCAGGCAAATGGAACTGAGGCAGACAAAGGGAATTGGAGGGGAGATTTTAGAGTATTCAGGGGGCGATCTGAGGACCTGGGACTCCAGAGATGAGGGAGGTGCTCCGGGAGAGGTGATGCTTTTCTGATGGGCCATGCTTGGGTGACTGCAAAATGGAGGCACTTTATGTCCTGCAGGTGGCTCTATCCCCCAGCCTGCCTCAGAGCAGACCCCCAGAAAAGGAGGTTCTGGGGATACCATCTTAGCAAATTGGGGGAGTTCAGAAGAACTTTAACAAGTTAATTTTTTACAAGGATGGAGGCCTACCCTGGGTCAGTGGGAGGCCATCCTGAGATCCCTGCGGACTGTGGGTGTTCTGGCCCAGGGCTGTGATGGCAAGCATGCCAGGGTGTCACAGAATCCGCATGGAGGGGGCGCCTGGGTGGCTTGGTCGTGATCCTGGGGTCCTGGAATCGAGCCCCACATCTGGCTTCCTGCTCAGCGGAGTCTGCTTCTCCCTCTGCCCCCCCCCCCTGCTGTGCTCTCTCTCTTTCTCTTTCTCTCAAATAAGTAAATAAAATCATAAAAAAAAAACCAAACCAAAGCCAAAAACAAATCCACACGGGGGGGGGGGGGGAGCGGGATTAGTCATGGCCGAGCATGGCCACCACCTCACTGGGCCCCAGGGAGCCAAGGCAGGGCGTTCTGCTCCACAGTCATGCTCCAGAGGGCCACCAGCTGGACCCTAGCCCCGTGCAGGCCAGCTCACGACAGCCTTGAGCAGAGTGTGTAGTGACAGCCATGTAATGGTGAATCTTTTCTTAAATAGCCTTTTAAATTTTCCCCAGGGGCAGCCCAGGTGGCTCAACGGTTTAGCGCCACCTTCAGCCCAGGGCGTGATCCTTGAGACCCTGGATTGAGTCTTGGGCTCCCTGCATGGAGCCTGCTTCTCCCTCTGCCTGTGTCTCTGCCTTTCTCTGCGCTTCTCATGAATAAATAAAGAAAATAAAAAAAAGAAAGAAAGAAAAGAAACTGCATATTAAAATAAATAAATAAATAATAAATAAATAAATAAATAAATAAATAAATAAATAAATAAATAAAATTTCCCCAGGGCTGTATTTGAGGAAGGGCCTCCAAATCCACTGGCCTGTAACATAATGGCTCAGTGGCTAAAAACAAGTTCATTGTTAAAAAAGGAAAAAACGGTGGTGACTGTGGGGGTGATGACTCGCAGATGACTCATCAGACCCAAAATCAAAGGAATCAAGATGACACAGGTAGAAAGGGAAGGGGGGAGAGCACCGCTCCCTCTCACCATTCTGGGTTCACGTGTACCTCTGAACCACACGTTCCTGCCCATCATCCCTGCAATCTCCAGCCAGCCACCCCATCTTTAGCTGGTCTCTCCACACGGTGTTCCTGACCCCCACACCCATCCTCCTCCCAGTATCCAGAGGGACCAGATTATGAACCTGATGGTGTCCAGCTTTTCTCACAACTTGCAGAGACTTCTGCTACCAGACCAGAATCTAAATTCACCACCTCAGTTTTGAGGTCCATTGATCCATCCCTTGCTCCCTGTAGTCCAGTGACAGCGGTCCCTGGTTAGCCCTCCCCACAGGGCCTTTGCACTTGCTTTCCCCACCTCAGTGTAAAACTTTCTCCACCTTGCTTCTGTAGATCATCCCTCAGCTCCTGTATCACTTCTTCAAGGAAGCCCTGTGACCCTTCAGCTCTCCTGGGTCCCTGTTCTTTCCCTTCTCAGAACATTTTCCATTTTGTAATTAAACATTTAAAATGGTGAGTTTTGCATCTCTCCCACTGAACTGGAAACTCCAGGGGGCAGGGACCATATCTGGTTTGCTCACCATGGTGCCCCTGGAGCTAGCACAGTGCCTGGCTCCCCAATGAGTGCTTAAAAACATTTGTTGACTGATTGATTCATAAAAGGCAAACACATCTTCATATTCTTTTCAAAAAAAATATCAGCTTCTGGGACGCCTGGGTGGCTCAGTGGTTTAGCGCCTACCTTCAGTTCAGGGCATGATCCTGGAGTCCCAGTATTG